ACATCAACTCTGACAACTTCACACTGCTGCATGCACTACCTACACATACTTTTGTAGTCAGATAAACCTTCTAATGGAGAATTATGAGTGGCTGAAGTAAGACCTCATACACATGCATAGAAACAGCATATGTCAAAGAGCTGCTGAAAAGGCTCTGAAAGCATCATCATGAAAGGTACATGTCAGGTATCAAAGACTTATTCAAAGCTGATCTACATGGCTTGGGCTAGGATGAGGCTACTGAAAAGCCCTAGGCACCTCACTCTTAAGAAAACACTCGCTCCCAGGGTCATCCACCTACAGGACCTGCAGTTGGGTGACCCTGAGAGTGAGCGCCTCCTTAAGCTGTGTGCCCTAGATGCCCTGCCTGCCTCACAATAGCCCCAGCCCTGCTGGCCTGCTGCAAAAATGACAGGCTCCCTGTTTCAGCAAGGACGAATTCAAACTGGGCATGCCAGGCATCCAGGAGACTGTGCCCCCAAAAAGGTGGGAAATAGTAAAATTTGGGTCTCTTCTCTACCAGAAAAAATGTGGGCTGGCATGAAAAAGGTTAAAAAGCAGATCCTATCCAGTAGTGTAAGACTCAGGTTATTGTCTTCCCTATATAGTAAACTCCAGAAAGCCAACTCCAAAAAGTTTAAGTGAGTTAGGTGAGGTCCTATAGCTGGTTAATGACCTAACCAGATATGCAGCCTGTTCCTCTGTCGCCTTCTCACTACCCAATGATTCACCTTTTTGCTGACCCCATGATGCTCTTGAGAGAAGACAGAGTAACTAGAACTAGTGATACCAACACAGATGGTATCACAGATGGTATCATTAGCTAAGCCTCCTAATAAGGTTAATTTGAAGATCGTGCAAAGGCATTCATTCTCAATATGCCAGCTCACCTTCAGGTCTTCAATAGCTGGGAAAGCCCTCCTTTCTCAGAGAATGATGAGACTTTACCTCCAGATTTTTCAGGCAAGTTGGATCTGGGGCTGGCACTGGCCACCTGAATGTCTAATTAATGAACAGATGGTGAGAACAGCTATCATGTTATTTGTTCTGTGGCAAGAGGCTCTCTGGACCTATTTTACAAGGGGAACGTCCCTAAAGGGCAAAAGGTAACTGAAGATTAGCTCAGTAATCAATTCCAGAGGTACAGTCAGGCCTCAGAGACTACAACATCCCTCCCTTCTTGGGCCATGGCAAGATATTTAATATATCATGAGGACCTGCTGGAGATGCATAACCTCAGGTACAGCAGAAGAGAAGATACAGAGAGGGAGGACTCAAGATGGTGCTGTGAGAACAACCCAGGATTGAAGCTCTCACTGGATGCGTGGAGAGGGTGAGTCGGGGATGCATTTCCAGATGGATCTTAGTTGCCCATAGAACGGGGAAATTCCCACGTATAAAAAAGACGTGGGATGCCAGGCAGAGGTCTCGGCTGGTGTGGCTGGTGTAGCCGGCAGCTGGTGCAGCTCTGGCCCACGCTGGAGTGCAGTGGCACTCCACAGCACTCCATACAAAAGCACACTGTTATGGGTGCCCTGTTGAACCGGCAAACTGAGACCTGGGAGGGCTAAACTTGAGACTGAACGGGACTTGGGCAGTGAGCCAGTCCAGGAAATCCCAGGGACAAAGCGTTTGGGCTAGCGCAGTGCGACAAACAAAATGGCGATTCCAAACCCTCCCTGTGAGAAGGTTTTCTTAAAGCGCAGCTCTGTGGGGGAGGAGTGTCCGCCATTACCAAGGCAATCAGTCCCCACTGAGGTACACGCCCATTGCTGACTTAGCCTGCTGTTGCCGAAGCAACCCGGTACAACAGAGAGACTCCGCTACAGGGCGTAGCCCGTGGCAACAGGGCGGAGACTGTGGCAACAGGGCAAAGACCACAGCAGAAGGGCAGAGCCTGCAGCAACAGGGTGAACCTCACACCAGCAGGGCGGAGCCTCGGCAGGCAAATAGTGATTTGACTGCCTCCTAGCTGGGCAGGACAGCAAGGCTGACACTCACAAAAAAAGCCTCAACCCCCACCCCCCAGACAGAGCATCTGAGAAAAAAAGGAGTTTTTTCAGCCTATCAGCCCTGAATGAACAACAGAGCTCACAGCTCAGCAATTGACCTCCTACAAAGTACAGACTGTCTCCTCAAGCAGCTCCCTGACCCCTCTATATCCAAAAGACTGACATTTGGCAGGCATCATTCTGGGACAAAGATAGCAGAAAAAGAAACTGGTAGCATCCCTCGCTTTCCCACAGCTGCTATAGGCGCACCCCAGACAAGCAGGTCCTGGAGTGGACCTAAGCAATCATACAGCGAAGGGGCTAGACTGGTAGAAGAAAAACCAAGTAACAGAAATATTTCATCATCAACAATCTGGGTGTCCACTCAGAGACCCAATCGAAAAGTCAGCAACTACGCAGACGACAAGTGGATAAATCCACAAAGATGGGAAAAAACCAGCGCAAAAAGGAGGAAAATACCCGAAACAAGAACACCTCACCTCCTATAAAGGACCAAAACGCCTCACCAGAAAAGGAACAAAGCTGGATGGAGAATGACTGTGATGAAATGATGGAAATAGACTTCAGAAGGTGGATAATAAAAAAACTTTTGTGAGCTAAAAGAACATGTATTAAATCAATGCAAAGAAACTAAGAACCTTGAATAAAGATATGAAAAAAGATTTGAGGAAATTATAACAAGAATGGATAACTTAGAGAGGAATATGAATGAATTAAAGGAGCTGAAAAACACAATACGAGAACTGGAAGCATTCCCTTTGAAATCCGGCACTAGACAAGGATGCCCTCTTTCACCACTCCTATTTAATATAGTTCTGGAAGTTCTAGCCAGAAAAATCAGGCAAGAAAAAGAAATAAAGGGTATTCAAATAGGAAAGGTGGAAGCCAAATTGTCTCTATTTGCAGACGACATGATAGTATATCTAGAAGACCCCATCGCCTCAGCCCAAAAACTCCTGAAACTGATAAGCAACTTCAGCAAAGTCTCAGGATATAAAATCAATGTGCAAAAATCACAAGCATTCGTCTACACCAATAACAGACTTAAAGAAAGCCAAATCAAGAACGAACTGCCATTCACAATTGCTACAAAAAGAATAAAATACATTGGAATACAACTCACGAGGAACGTAAGGGACCTCTTCAAGGAGAACTACAAACCACTGCTCAACGAAATCAGAGAGGACACAAACAGATGGAGAAACATTCCATGTTCATGGTTAGGAAGAATTAATATCGTGAAAATGGCTATACTGCCCAAAGTAATTTACAGAATCAATGCTATACCCATCAAGCTACCATTGACTTTCTTCACAGAACTGGAAAAAACCACCATGAACTTTATATGGAACCAAAAGAGAGCCCGCATAGCCAAGTCAATTCTAAGCACAAAGAATACAGTGGGGGGCATCACACTACCGGATTTCAAACTATACTACAAGGCTACAGTAATCAAAACAGCATGGTACTGGTACCAAAAGAGAGATATAGACCAATGGAACAAAACAGAGGCACCAGAGGCAACACAACGTATCTACAACTATACAATCTTTGATAAACTCGACAAAAACAAGCAATGGGGAAAGGATTCCCTGTTCAACAAATGGTGTTGGGAAAACTGGCTAGCCATGTGCAGAAAGCAGAAACTGGACCCCTTCCTGACACCTTACACTAAAATTAACTCCAGATGGATTAAAGACTTAAACATAAGACCTGGCACCATAGACACCCTAGAAGAAAATCTAGGCAAAACTATCCAGGACATAGGAGTAGGCAAGGACTTCATGAACAAAACACCAAAAGCATTGGCAACAAAAGCCAAAATAGACAAATGGGACCTAATCAAACTCCACAGCTTCTGCATGGCAAAAGAAGCAGTCACTAGAGTGAATTGGCAACCAACAAAATGGGAAAAAATTTTTGCAGTTTACCCATCTGACAAAGGGCTGATATCCAGAATTTACAAAGAACTCAAACAGATTTACAGGAAAAAAGCAAACAAGCCCATTCAAAAGTGGGCAAAGGATATGAGCAGACACTTTACAAACGAAGACATATATGAGGCCAACAAACATATGAAAAAATGCTCATCATCACTGGTCATCAGAGAGATGCAAATCAAAACCACATTGAGATACCATCTCACGCCAGTTAGAATGGTGATCATTAAAAAAGCTGGAGACAACAGATGCTGGAGAGGATGTGGAGACAAAGGAACACTTTGACACTGTTGGTGGGAGTGTAAATTAGTTCAACCATTGTGGAAGACAGTGTGGCGATTCCTCAAGGCCTTAGAAATAGAAATTCCATTTGACCCAGCAATCCCATTACTGGGTATATATCCAAAGGACTATAAATCGTCCTACTATAAGGACACATGTACACGAATGTTCATTGCAGCACTGTTTACAATAGCAAAGACCTGGAATCAACCCAAATGCCCATTGATGATAGACTGGATTGGAAAAATGTGGCACATATACACCATGGAATATTATGCAGCAATCAGAAATGATGAGTTTGTGTCATTTGTAGGGACATGGATGAATCTGGAGAACATCATTCTCAGCCAACTGACACAAGAACAGAAAATGAAACACCATATATTTTCACTCATAGGTGGGTGATGAAAAATGAGAACACATTGACACAGAGAGGGGAGTACTAAACACTGGGGTCTATTGGGGGGAAAAGGGGAGGTCCAGTGGGAGGGGGAGGTGGGGAGGGATAGCCTGGGGAGAAATGCCAAATGTGGGTGAAGGGGAGAAAGGAAGCAAAACATACTGCCATGTGTGTACCTACGCAACTGTCTTGCATGTTCTTCTCATGTACCCCAAAACCTAAAATGCAATAAAAATAAATAAATAAATAAATAAATAAATAAATAAATAAATAAATGAAGATAGAGTCGGTAAGAGAAATATTGCCAGCCCACAGCTCAATAGGAAATGTTTCTGTCTCTTTAAGTTGTCATGGGGCCCACCCTGAGTTTCCTGATTTCTGGTCTGAGTGACTTCCTCTGTGTGCTGAGGGGAAATAGCCTTCTGAACTCACAGCCGAAGGGAAAGCAGCAGATTGGGGCATCTTGTGGCCAACTTCAGAGCCTGTCACCAGGAAAGGTGAGTGGTGAGCCTGAGCCTGGGTGCTGGCGGGAGCTGGGTGTGCTCTGAAAACCAGAAAGAATGTGATTCCTAGAGTGTTTACTGCCTGAGCACTCGTATGTAAAGATCTGGAACAATCAAGGTCATGCTTCCAGGTTTTTAAGTTGACAAAGTTCAGAGGAAATTTTAGCAGCATCTTCTCCAGCTCTGGAGCACGCAGGTTCTTGATAGGGAGTGAAATCTGTCTCCTCCCACATTCCCTTAACAAAGTAAGAGAAGAGTGTGCTGGAGCCACCTCTGGGAATAAAATATAGTTTGAAAGGCATTAAAGCTCAAGCTCCCTATTGAGCAAAGGCAAAAGATATTTCTGTGGCCCCATAAGCCATCTAACCCTGGAGTGAGTTACAATGTGACAAGACTGGGTACATCTGAACTCTCTTCTCTCCTCCTCACTGTCCACAGAAGGGGCCCCTGAGGAGACATCTGAGATGAATCGCTCGGTCTTCAACCCCTTTTTCTGCATAGTTCCTTAAACATCTGCTCCCTTAATTCAAGTTTCTCCTGCTCCAGCCATGGGGACACCTGAAGTTCCTCATCTGTACAATAAAGGGGGTTACAAAAATGACTGATGTCCAAGTTCTGAACTGTGGACATCAGAAACTTGATTTGTGAATCAGAATCTCTGAGGATGGATCCAAGAAATGTACATTTTTAAAGAGCATTCAAGTAATTCTGAGAAACAGCACATTTGAGTGGTAAAGAACTCAATAAATTTTGAGGTCTCTTAAAGTATTAGGAATATAGGATTCCACAAGTGTACATTCCTCAATGATTAAGAGTCATTTGCCACCTCAGAGTTCAGCTGGATCTTACTGTACTCTAAAAAAAAAAAAAAAAAAAACTATTTAAAGTCATTTCAACCCCTGTTCCAAACCATGGAAAATTCCAATAGTCTATCTAGAGTTCTGCAGGTTCCCTGCAGTGCACTTTCCCACTTTCTTAGTTAACAAGGGCTTTTTGCTTCATCTAAATTCTTACTCTTTGCTCCGAATCTCACAGCTGTTTCTTCCTTTCTGCTCTGATGTCAATTATGATCCCCTGTTTGTTTCTACATGCAAAATAATTAATCACATAAGGTCCATGGAGTCAACTTTATTGGAGGCTTTGGGAACGGCCAGCGGACTTCCTGCAGAAACAGAAACAGCTCTAGCTTTAATACAAGGCAAACCTGTTCTCCAAGTCTTTCCATCAAAGACAGGTTACTCAGCCAGCCTCACTCTCTGCCCTTCCTTCATGTGTGATGCCAATGGGAGAGAACACGGGTACCCGAGTGACCAGGGTGCAAGACACAAAGAGGTGGAGTTTGACATGGAGGGTGAGGCACAGATAGGTCGGGAGGAGTGATAGTTCTAGGAGGGGAAGCAGAGTGGGTTGGAAAGGCCCTGGAATCTGCTGTTTGTGAAGTAGCTGACTGAGTGGGGGATTGGCTGGAAATGAGGTGGAGACATAGATGCAGGGTGAAGTGCATTTGTGTTCAGGAGCTTGTGTGATCAGGCAAACTGGATCACAGCGTGTTTAGCTCTATTACACAATGTTAGATTTCAGCACAATCAGCTTATCTTTTTTTATTTTTTTGCTGGTGCTGTTGTTCTTTATTATTTCTACTATTTTTACCATTCATTGCATAACAGTTAAAGTAAGTATAATAACCAGTAGATTCCTTATATGGTAATAATATGTAGTCTGAATTTTTAAAACTCAAATTCAACATTTTGTCTTATTAATAAACACATAAAAATATAATTATTACTTATATTATCAGAAAAGCAACCCATAAATTCTATACTAACACATATTTTAAAAATAAACTAAAAGAAAACATATCTTTTAAAGCCTCGGATTGGAAGGGGAAGCCACTTCAGGAGTTGAGGGGGAGTGTTCAAGTCTCTCCAGCACAGAGATCATATTTAGACATCTCTAGACAAAGCAAATTATTTGGTTTAAAGAAAACAGAGTCAGGGTCCCTCCAGATCTGCTTGGGAGATCTATTCAATTTCCAAAATAAAAAATCCTAATTTTCTTCTTGTTTTTTCTCAGGCCAGCTGCTTGAGGTAGGTGACTAAGTCACTGGGTAAATTTTCTGGTTCTGAGGGTTTACCTAATCCTCCCCCAGCTACTGAATCCCTTGCTATCTCTAGCTTATGTCAGTGATATAGAATCACCCAGGAAAAATTAACACCTAAAGCTTACCCACTGGCATTGGGTAAATGTTATAACCCACACTCTTCTTTTTGCTTTTGGAGTTCCTGAAAAGACAAATCCAAGCTCACCCAATGTTCTCGCCACATCATACCAACTCAAGGGCAGAGTGTTGACCCTTCCAATGCCATTCTCTCAAGTTCTGGTATAATCCTTACTTCAAAAAGGATGAGAACAATGTATTATGTTGATGAAATGTACCTGTCTTCTCTATAGCCATCTGCCCTTCTGCCAAGACAGACACTTGGATTTTTAGATCCTTGCAAGCAAAAGCCATGTCTTTTCACTGTGCTGTCACCAGCTCTTCGGACTTTGCCTGACACACTGTAGGTGTCTATGCCTATTTGAGGAGTAAATACAGGAATTAACAAATTGTGTTTGGGAATCTTCTAGGTAAGCATGGGAGGAAGGAAGATGGCAAGAGACGAAGAAAATGTCTATGGTAAGACCATATCTCTGGACCTGATACTTGCCCCACTAGGCTTGATCTTAGAGTAATGAGAATGGGTCTTCCTCAAGACTGAACAGAGATAAGTTCCAGATGTGTCTCAACTCTGGAATGAAATAGCACCAGCCCTGAGATTTGCATTTTAGCTGGATCTCTGCTGTGAGATGTTCAGTTCTTTGACTAGCCTGCTCTCTTGGTTCCACAGTATAAAATAAGGGTAATAAGCCTACATCAGTCTCCACAGAAGAAGTGCAGAGGATATCCAATCATGTACTAAAGTGAACATGATTTCCAAGGTAGAATGTTTAGAGAACAAAGATAGAGGGTTAAAACAGATATTCTTTTTAGGCAGCCAGTTTAAGAGAGAGGGAGGGGAGGAAGGAGGGAGAGAGGGAGAGAAGGAGGGAAGAAGGAAAGAAACCTTATCTCACCCCCTCAACACGCCTATGAGAAACAAGCCTCTATTATCACTCCCACTTTTGCGGCAAAGGCTTAATACTTAGATTACTTAACTTCTCCAAGGTTACACAACCAGCACATGGTGGAGCTGTGATTCAAACCACGGAGTCTAAACTCCAGACAGCTCTTCACTACCAGGCAGTACTTCCCCCACTGCCTTTGTCTGGGGATGGTCTTGGGAGAATATTTCAGAGTCCATCAAAAGTTTTAAATATGAGGGAGGGACTCAAGATGGCGCGGTGAGAAAAACCCAGGATTGAAGCTCTTGGTGAACGTGTAGAGGGTGAGTCAGGGCCGCATTTCCAGAGGGATCTTTGTTGCCCACAGAACAGGGAAATTCCCAGGTATAAAAGAGACGTGGGACACCAGGCAGAGGTTTTGGCTGGAGCAGCCAGCAGCCGGTGCAGCCGGCGGCCAGTGCAGTAGCACAGTGGTGCTCCACAGCACTCTGCACAAAGCACACTGGTCCGGGTGCCCTGTTGAATCGGCAATCTGAGACTTGAGAGGGCAGATTGGCATATCTATCTGACTGAACGGAACTTGGACAGTGAGCCAGGCCAGGAGATTCCAGAGAAATGGCGTTAGGGGTAGCACAGTGGGACAAACAAAACAGTGATTCCAAACGCTCCAGGTGGAGAGTTTCACTGCAGGCACAGCTGAACCCAGGATGGTGCAGCTCCGTGGGGGAGGGGCATCCGCCATTACCAAGGCAACCCGCCCCTACTGAGGTACACGCCCATTGCTGATGCAGCCTGCCATTGCCAAGGCAACCCGCCACAACAGAGAGACTCCGCTGCAGGGCGTACCCTGTGGCAGCAGGGCAGAGACTGCAGCAGCATGGCAGAGCCTGCAGCAACAGGGCAAACCTCACACCAGCAGGGTGGAGCCTCGGCAGGTAAACAGTGACTAGACTGCCTCCTAGCTGGGCAGGAGAGCACAACGGAAATTCATAAAGCCACAACCCCCTGAGACAGAGCATCTGAGAAAAAAAGGGTTTTTTTTAATGAGTTCTGCTGCAGCAGAATTAAATGTAGCAGCCTAACAGCCCTGAATGAACAAGAGAGCTCACAGCTCAGCACTTGAGCTCCTATAAAGTACAGACTGTCTCCTCAAGCAGCTCCCCCACCCCTCTATATCCAAAAGACTGACATTTGGCAGGCATCATTCTGGGACAAAGAAAGCAGAAATAGAAACTGGTAGCATCCCTCACTGTTCCACAGCTGCTATAGGTGCACCCCAGGCAAGCAGGGCCTGGAGTGGACCTCAGCAGTCATACAGTGGAGAAGCTAGACTGGTAGAAGAAAAACCAAGAAACAGAAATACTTCATCATCAACAATCTGGGCGTCCACTCAGAGACCCAATCAAAAAGTCAGCAACTACTCAGATGACAGGTGGATAAATCCACAAAGATGGGAAAAAAACAGCGCAAAAAGGAGGAAAACACCCAAAACCAGAACACCTCACCTCCTAGAAAGGACCAAAACTCCTCACCAGCAAGGGAACAAAGTGGGACGGAGAATGACTGTGAAGAAATGACGGAATTAGACTTCAGAAGGTGGATAATGAGAAACTTTTGTGAGCTAAAAGAACATGTTTTAAATCAATGCAAAGAAACTAAGAACCTTGAAAAAAGATTTGAAAAAAGATTTGAGAAAATGATAACAAGAATGGATAACTTAGAGAGGAATATGAATGAATTAAAGGAGCTGAAAAACACAATACAAGAACTTCGCGAAGCATGCACAAGTTTCAACAGCCGAATTGACCAAGCAGAAGAAAGAATATCAGAAGTCGAAGATCAACTCAACGAAATAAAGTGAGAAACCAAGATCAGAGAAAAAAGCACAAAAAGGAATGAACAGTCTCCAAGAAATGTGGGACTATGTGAAAAGACCTAACCTACATTTGATAGGTGTACCAGAAGGGGATGAAGAGAATGAATCCAAGCTGGAAAATACTCTTCAGGACATCATCCAGGAAAATTTCCCCCACCTAGCAAGACAGGCCAACACTCAAATGCAGGAAATACAGAGAACACCACAAAGATATTCCACAAGAAAATCAACCCCGAGGCACATAATCGTCAGATTCAACAAGGTTGAAATAAAGGAGAAAATACTAAGGGCAGCCAGAGAGAAAGGTCGGGTCACCCACAAAGGGAAGCCCATCAGACTCACAGCAGATCTCTCGGCAGAAACACTACAAGCCAGAAGAGAGTGGGGGCCAATATTCAACATCCTTAAAGAAAAGAACTTTCAACCCAGAATTTCATATCCAGCCAAACTGAGCTTCAGAAGTGAAGGAAAAATAAAATCCTTTGCGAACAAGCAAGTACTCAGAGATTTTGTCACCCCCAGGCCTGCTTTACAAGAGCTCCTGAAAGAGGCACTACACATAGAAAGAAACAACCAGTACCAGCCATTCCAAAATCACACTAAATGCTAAAGAGCATCAACATAACGAAGAATCTACAACAACTAACGGGCAAAACAGCCAGCTAGCATCAAAATGGCAGGATCAAATTCACACATAACTATATTAACCCTAAATGTAAATGGACTAAATGCACCAATCAAAAGACACGGACTGGCAAATTGGATAAAAATCCAAAACCCATCAGTGTGCTGTATCCAGGAAACCCATCTCACATGCAAGGATACACAAAGGCTCAAAATAAAGGGATGGAGGAAGATTTACCAAGCAAATGGAGAGCAAAAAAAAGCAGGAGTTGCAATTCTCGTCTCTGATAAAATAGACTTTAAAGCAACAAAGATCAAAAGAGACAAAGAAGGCCATTACATAATGGTAAAAGGATCGATACAACAAGAAGAGCTAACGATCCTAAACATATATGGACCCAATACAGGAGCACCCAGATACATAGGCAAGTTCTTAATGACTTACAAAGAGACTTAGACTCCCACACAATAACAGTGGGAGACTTTAACACTCCACTGTCAATATTAGACAGATCAACCAGACAGAAAATCAACAAGGATATCCAGGGCTTGAACTCAGACCTGGAGCAAGCAAACCTGATAGACATTTACAGAACTCTCCACCCCAAATCCACAGAATATACATTCTTCTCAGCACCACATCACACCTACTCTAAAATTGACCACATAATTTGAAGTAAAGCACTCCTCAGCAAATGCAAAACAACTGAAATCATAACAAACAGTCTCTCAGACTATAGAGCAATTAAATTAGAACTCAGAATTCAGAAACCAACCCAGAACCACAAATCTTCATGGAAACTGAACAACTGGCTCTTGAATGTTGACTGGATAAACAATGAAATGAAGGCAGAAATAAAGAAGTTCTTTGAAACCAACGAGAACGAAGACACAACATGTCAGAATTTTGGGGACACATTTAAAGCAGTCTCTAGAGGAAAATATATAGCAATAAGTGCCCATATGAGGAGAATGGAGAGATCTAAGGGAAACCTGTGGGGATCGCTCCCGTGTGAGGCCCCTAGGAAACGGGCCTCACCATACAGTGAGCTTGAGCCCAGACACAGATCCCCGGTTGGGGGAGTCGAGCTGAGGGATAGCAGGAACTGAGAGAGGGACTATATGTTATTCAAAATAATTAACAGACATTACTTTATGAATATGAGGTCTTCGGAGGCACTGTGTCTACTTTCGGCTTCTTATGGTTTATTGCTTGGTTGTGTTCATTTTGGACCCTTGTTACCTTCATTGTAAAATATTAACTTAATATTTACACTTGGTAACTTACTTACCATAACTTACTGGGCGTAACTGTAACTTACTTACCGTAGCTTACAGGGCGTAACTGTAACTTGCTTACAATTGTTAAGTACTTACTAGGCGTAAGTTACTTGCTGGGTGTAACCTATTTACTGGGCTTAACTTGCTTACTGGGTGTAACTTAGTGGGCGTAACTTGCTTACTGTAACTTAAGTACGCTGATCTGGCATAAACAACTTTAACCTCAGAAAAGTATATAATGAGACATATTGCAAAAATAAAATTGCTGCATGAGCATAGAGCATGTAGCCCTCCGGACCTCGCTCTTTTCTATCTCCTTTTTTCCCAGTGCATGCTCTCTTCCAGGTTTGGGACCCTCTCGCTGGATGAGATTTCCAGGCTCTCATTCAGTTCACAACAGCAGGCATCCGAACGTGGGGCCTGGACATGAGGGACAACTGTGACGCCTACAAACTATAGAGGTGAAGCTTCAGTGTAAGTGAGTGAATAATTTTTTCATCTAGAGTAAAACATGAGGCAAATAGAGTATAAAGAGCATAAATTGTACAGCTTTTGCAACATATGATTAAGTCACATCTTTGTGACATTAAACTTAAAACTGTTGAGGAATTTGTGCACATAGTGTGCAAGCTTTGTCCGTGGGTTGTGGATTCTGAGATCAAACTTAGAACTGAGGGAGCAAGGAGCATGCACTGCTCTTGCGTGCTCTTGCACCACTCGCGTGACTGGCCGGTGTGTGTGTGAGGTGCCGGCTCCCGGGACACAGACTGCCGAGCACGTGCCACTGCGAGTAC